CATATAGCCGGTTTGGAAAGTTTTGTGATCAGAAATTAAAGACTTGCCTAAAGACTTGGCCTAAGCGACCAAGACATTCGGTTTTGCAGGGGTCAGGTTTTCCAGAGACAGATTATCCAGCTTTCTTATAAAAAGGCGATATGGACTTCATCGCATAGGAAAATCTACGAGCTATGTAAAACTGTATTCGGATTTGTTCCAGCTGTTACTGAAACATCAAAAAGAAAGGAGTTCTTACGATTATGTCAAGCGGTACTGCATAAATAAGACTCAAACGCTACTTTTGCATATCTTCAATGGCTCGGCACTGCAGTCTAGATATTCTGACTAGCTCAGTTTGTACAGAATTTCCAGGGCTATCCAACAGTATATTTTCAAAAACTATGTAATTTTTCATTAAAACAAGAAAACGACTAAAGTAGTTTGCTGCAAGTGTTTTTCGTACTCCAACGCTTTCTTCGTATGTCTTTGGTGACTGGCCCGACCAGTCGACACATTCGGACTAGCTCAATCGATAGAGAATTTGAAGAGCTATTGAATGGTATACCATAGAGAAGTATATAATTTTTCCTTTTGGTAGAAAAAGTGACTAAAGGAATGCTCCACTAATGTTTTTGGCACTCGAACGCTTCCTTTGGATGTTTGTGCAGACTGGCCTAAGCGACCAAGACATTCGGACCAGCTCAGCTTGTAGAGAATTACAAGGGCTATCGAACAGTATACTGTACGGATGAGTATAACTTTTCGTTTTTCCAGAAATTATTGACGAAAACAGTGCTCTGCTGGTGTTTTCGGCACTCGATCGTATTTAGACAAATAGTTTTGCATTTTTGGCTACATACTAGAGGTTTTTCACAAAGATTTTATGCTCATTTTATAGAGAATTTTCAGCTCTACAACATAGAGAAATTTATTTTGTATGACCATTTAAAGCAAATCTTTCTGAGTACTTTATGTAGAAAAATCATGCTTTTTAAATGACGGCTTTTAAGGGTAGTGAGATAAAGTATTTTGCATTTTTAGGCATGTGTTGCAATGTTTTTTTCAAATTTTGTATGCTTATTTTATAGAGAATTTCTAGCTCTACAAAAGGAGAAAACTTATTTTCTGGCCCCATGCAAAAGAAAACCGTTATAATAAATTTTATGTGAAAAAATTATGTTCTTTAAATAATGACTTTTGAGAGTAACTTGGACATATTACTTCAACGTTGCATCGATAAATCTGCTCTAATATATCATTTTGTTCAGTTTTTAATTCTCTTTCGAATGAATTATTGCTCAAAAAGATTAGACACGTCGCTTTTGAGTTATAGTTAAAATACTGAAAAGTTGTAAGAGACATAGGTGTGTTCGAAAAATGTTCGGGGTCCTTCGAAAAAAACGTCGTAATTTCTCAGTCGAAAGACATCGAAAGCTCAAAATTTGGATTTACACGTTATTCGGTATAGGGAATCGAATGAGAACAGTTTTAGGGAGAAGAAAAATTCAACTTGTTATGACCGTTTGAGCAGGTGCTTGATGGGCTGGTGGAGCCTCTCTTAATTTTTCATCTTTTCTCGAAACACTTTCAACCTCGATCTTCTGATGTGTTTTAAACGAAAAAAATCTTTTTTTAAACCGTTCTGTTTTTCACTTCATGTCACCACAGCTCTTCATAACAAATCGCTATTCTTCAGTTTTTAAAATATGCTGACATTTTTCCGATGGCAAATTAACTTCAATTACTAGAAATAAGCTGTGTTTTCTAACCATGTAATTGAAATTAAGTTTTAAGAAAATCGATTGAGCAGCGTCTCTAACAATTAGCCATCACTTATGTGCAATAGCTCATAACAGAGTAGAATGAAAAATGCCGTTATTCTACAAACACATTCAAAATTATATCGAAAGAGTGTGAGAGAAAACGCAACAATCTTTGTTTTCGATGTTCAGACTCTAGTGAAAAGATATTAGAATTATCCGATAAAAAAGAAAAGACATAAACCGCAGAGACTTCTGCGCGTTCGATGATAGAACTCCAGTCAATAAGTGAAAATTTTCGGCACTCTAATAAAATAAAAAAATTTCCGTTCAGATTCAGTTATTAATAATTTCGAATCCTCGAGTAATTGATACGATCGATTCAAAATATCCAACATTATGATTTCGCGTTGCACAGGATGGAACGTGTCTTGGAAAGTCTTGGAGCTGTTTAATAGTCACTCTATGTTGGCTTGATATTGGTACTACTACTCAACAGCCTCATTATATAGTTATACTTGATATTTTTCAGATACCAATAGAAACTCGAGAAGCAGTATGTCGATTTGTTCATTGTATAATTTCTTACCTTGCAATTTATAGGCTCACATCTTTTCAGTTACATGAATGTGTTCCAGCCGATTTTAGTGGTACGTTTCGAAGAGGTCAACAGTTCGAGGTGCACGGTAAAAGATATAAGTTAAGATTTTCGTTATCTACAGACTATAAGACGGTATCTCTTTTAAGAGGACTTGCCGGTGTACAAGGAGAACATTTTTGCAATTGGTGTACATGTCATGCAAACAATGAAGGGATTATGATAGCTGGTCTGCTTCAATCCTAGAAAAGTGCGATGAGTCTCATGAAGCATGCTCAAGAATAATTCTACCTTTCAAGTGTCTATATTTTTCATATTGCAGAGAAATCTAACTCAGAATTACAACAGTTTAGCAGAACAAGAGAAAAGGTATATGGACAGACCACTCTATGGAGGTTATTTCGAGTAAGGATTCCGTATACTTATATTGAATGGTTAGAAACATTTTTTTCTTAGCCCAACCATATGCAAACTAAAAAGTGTCATTCAATAACTGTGTGCGAAATGTTTGCATGAGTATTTGTTATCTGATATCTGATATATTATAAGATATCTTATCATAATTCTCTATAATCAATATCTGATGCTTCCTTAGATATACTGAAGTGGTACCAGACGTACTTCATGTAAAGTTGAGAATTATGGATATTTTACTGAAACATGTACTATATGAAGCTTGCACTGTTCCATCTCCCGGCAATATAAGGAAACAACAACAACGTGAAATTACATTAAAACTTCTGAAATAACATTCAAAGCAAACTAAAGTAAGAGACAAAAGATTTCTTACCATCACAAAAGAAAAAATGCACATAAAATATTTAACTTATCAGTTCCAAGATGACTTAAGTCATACTATTGAACTAATACATTTTTCCATTGTTACTTTACCTATAACTCAGAATTAACGAAAACTTACATTATATTTGGACTAGAAAAACAAATAATCATTGAAATTGGTCCCATATCTGATGATAAGCAGTTAAAAAAATTCAAAAAACGAAAGGCTTCTTGTCCTTTTCTGTTTATTTGCCTTTTACGTTGCTCACTACCCGTCATTAACATTAGTTATGTTATTGTTTCTTTTGTTTATTCGTCATTACCGTAAGGTGTTCTGTGTAAATATGCCATTAGAGCAAACATGTTATCATAATTTCAGATAGAAAAAATCGCCGGTTTTTTCTTTAAAAAAGTGCACACACACGCGATGTCTAGCACAACATTACCAAATAGCATGAATTTATTTCTTGTTGGAAGTACGGCAAGTGGTCACAGTTCTGATAGTCCTTTTGCTGGAAAAAAAGCTTCAGTTGAGTTTCGAAGCCATCTAGTTCGTTTGCTCAGATGAGATCTAAATTTCGATTAGACATAAGAGAACTAAAAAATTCTGAAATGTACTAGTTGATTTTGAAACTGCTTTTAAAATGAACTAGTTCACGTTGAAATTTTGATTTCACGTGGTTTTTATTGAAATCATTCGATCTCACGCTGTTCAGTTTTAAACTAAACTGGATTTTAATTCAAACTCCTACATATACATACAGATACATGAGTATATGCATTTCTGAGTTCTTAACTTCCGCACTTACTGCGACAAAAAAATGTTTTCTGCTGCGAAACTTTCACTGTATTTTCATGTGATGTTCGAGACATCAAAGAATTCACAAAACTTTTCTAGAAGAAGTCCACTTCGCGCAAAACTCAAAATGAATACAATGGTTCCAGCTATGTGCTTAACTATTTCCAGCGTATAGCTTACAAATCACAGACATAGCTCCATTGAACAGTAAAACAACAGTTTCTCCAAGGTAGAATAAACCCAACAACGAAAGGCTTCTTGTCCTTTTCTGTTTATTTGCCTTTTACGTTGCTCACTACACGTCATTAACATTAGTTATGTTATTGTTTCTTTTGTTTATTCATCATTACCGTAAGGTGTTCTGTGTAAATATGCCATTAGAGCAAACATGTTATCATAATTTCAGATAGAAAAAATCGCCAGTTTTTTCTTTAAAAAAGTGCACACACACGCGATGTCGTCTAGCACAACATTACCAAATAGCATGAATTTATTTCTTGTTGGAAGTACGGCAAGTGGTCATAGTTCTGATAGTCATTTTGCTGGAAAAAAAGCATCTGATATAGATATGTGTATGGAAATTGGTAGAATTCATTCAGAAAATGAATTAATAAAAACATCAAAACCTAGCTTTGTTCGCATTCGATGGAATCCAGTAGAAGAAACATTAAAGTCAAAGCCCTATTCAAATGATCAAAATAATCAACATTGTATAAACGGCTATAAAATGAAGGAAAATGTGCAAAAGACCGCGGAATATAATGACATAACGTATAATATGCTGTATGATAAAACAAAGCCAATTCAGTCAACACCTGAATCAGCAGCTTTAAATGTAAAGTTGCGTTGGTCTAATTCTAATGTAGTATCAACTTCACAATCATTTAGTGATACACTAACGGATGTTTTAAATATTCAACAACAAGAAGAACAAAATAATGAACAATTATTGTTGTATAAAAACAATTTTGTAGTTTCCTTTCAGATAACAAATGGCCCACTGTTTTCGAATATAAGAAAGCAACTGGATAGAAGGGTGCCTATAAATGATGTTAATTATGCAGCAAGCTTACTATGTCCAATATTTTTAATTTCCTTAACACGAGAACAAAAACTGAAGGCAACAATGTTAATTAATTTTTATTTAAAGTATCAGTATTTAGTTAAAGCGTATATCCGTTCTGAACAGCGTTCTAATTATCGTTATCCATTCTTTGCGTATGAACCATATGATTATGATTTTGTACCATCATTTAAATTAGAATTTTGGCCTCAAGATATTGAACAAGGATTTTTAAAACGTTTTAAGCACAAGAAACCAAATTTATATGAACAAATAAAACAAATTTTTATGCATTTAGTAGCAAAGTGGTCGGGTAACAAAGAAACATGTCAAGATAGAGAATTAGAATTTCGATATTCTTTTTCGTCTATTGAATTATTCTTAGCTAATGCACGAACAAAAACCGAACAAATGTTAAATGGTATTGCACGATCAATTTATTATAGATATTTATATAAGAAGAACAACGATGAAAATAGTCAACATTCTTATATTAAATCGTATTTTATTGCAACAACTGTTTTCTGGATGTGTGAAGAGAAAAATTTAAATGATTTAGATGTTGAAAATGGTAATGATTGGCAAAGTATTAGCTCAGATGTGGATTGATTATGCAATTCGATTATTAGAAAAACGTAATTGTCCACATTATTTCATTGAAAATTTCAATATTTTAGAACAATATTCTGAGGATGTATTAGAAACAACTATTCTAACGCTTAAATTTCATGTTAACTTAAACGATCCACTTGGATTAGAATTAGTTCAAGCACTTAAACAAACAGAACCGTATAATTATGGAAATACTAATAATTTTTGGAAAAACTATATACACGACATATCTTATGCTGAAAACGAATACAAATATATAAAATTGATTTGGGGTGACGATGAAAGTGAAGATTTTGAATATTTACTAGATGTATTAGTTCCATTTTATAGAATTGATAATCAGGAAACAAATAATTGGCTTCGATGGAAAAAACTATTTATTGATAAAGACTTTGCCAATGATGATGATGATGAGTTAGTCCGAACATCATTATTTCACAATAATGAAGCGAACAACAAATCCACAATGAGTCCAAAATTATTTACATTCTGCTTATGTTTGGCAGTTTCGTGCGCACCTGCTATCATACAAAGTGTTACCAATCAACATTACTTCGAACATATTGTTCGTATGTCTCATGATAAAGACCATCAGTCATTTCTTTCAAATGTGAATTTTAATTTCGACAACTTCAGTCGAAAGACGGATATTTATTCTAAAATTGCAAACACAATAAGTTCATCTTCTACAAGGGTACGATTATACTCAGGTTTAGTATTGCCCACACTGTTCGAACATAATCTTTCATTTGTATTTAACAATCGTACAGTATTAACAGATCATGTTGAAGGTTCAGAAACTCATGATGTACTTGATCTTTCATGTTTGTATTATGTAATGAGAATAATTATGATAAATAATTTGGATATACAATATCCACATTTGAGAAAACTATTTCTATCAAGTACAATTTTAAAGTTATTAATTGATTATCGGCCGGTATTACAAGAAATTTTTCCATCGGAAGGTTTCAATGGTATTTTATCAACTGCAGTCTTTGAATGGTTATGTCAAAAAAGTAACGAAAACAGTGATCACGATGGTATATTCTATTCTGATTGGTGTTTATTAGTACCATTATTTATTCAAAGAAATACACGAATCGATAGATTTTCTTGTTTATCAGATGAAAATATTATTGCCATATTTGAAGATCGAGAAAAACTAAAAACAACAACTGAACTGTCATCGATTAAACATTGTATTTATCGTACTTATACAAAAGAAGATATCATTGAATCTGAAAAAGATTTCTTTGATTTGTGTGAAATGTTTTTTACATTTATAGAAAAAGCAATTATGATTTTAGAAAAAATCCAGTACGATATAAAACAAAAATTAACGAGTACAATATCAATCACTAATAATTTTGGACGAAAAACATATTATTTTCAATATCTATTACGACTTAATCAAATTAATGAATTAGAGAAAATAATCAATGGAAATATAAATGAAAACAATCAATCAAAGAATGAAAGATTATACGAGCGAGCATTTATACTATTCTTTTTTGAAGAAATCATGCACTGGTTAAGGGATCAAGATCGCGATATAAACAAAAGAAAGGAAATTAATGTTGTTTGTCATGCGTATTTATGGTATTTAACTCAGAATTCTTATATTAAGTATCTAAACGGATTAAATTCTAATAGAACACAATGTCCACTTCAGAGCGATAAAGAATTTTTAGACGAAGCCGCACAGAAGTCACAACAAAACGGTCAACAGTCTTTGAAGTTATCGTCTTTACATAGAGAAGACTTCAGCAATACAGGTAAAGTAATTTTTCAGAAATGAAACTACGTGACGCATAGAAGTTTAGCCGATTTTCTGTTGTGCACTGATCCGTTCAGACAGACACCGTTCAGACACTTTCAAAACGATCTAGAGTGTGACATAAGTAACCCTCACTCGAGACCACAGCTTTCATCCACAACACACGAATAAGAATTCAATTTTTTTCTGATTAACATACTATTCATAGTTTCCTCGTTTGTATTTTGTCTAAAGATAGTTGAAAGACATAAAAATTATATGGATCGATAAACTTTGTGAGCTGCATTTTGATAAAAGAAATCTTTTTATAATCAACTATCTTCATCGCTTACTTCGGTAAAAATACTAACAATCGTAAGCACTCAACAATTATGGACTTTTTATTTCAAAAATCGAAGCTTTCGATTAAGATCTATAGTCATCATCAGCTATTATTTACAATGTGAAAAACACACGACTATACATGTACATTCAGTTGTTCTTTTTCATTCTTATTTTTTGCTTTTTACTACACACTCACTTTTGGTTCTCTTTCTTTTTCTTTAAAAAAAAGAAAATGAAAAGTTTCGAAAAATTTTCCTTAGTAATGGATCCAATGGATATCTCGATAGGTTTCTTAGAAGTTCTAATCTACTATTGCTATTTAGCTCGCGTACATTGAATAACAAAAATCTATTATTACGATGGAGTGAATACACAGCAGGAAACTTGCAACAATTTTGGACGCCTCTAAACACGTCAATTAAAATATTTACCATTACCACATGTTTTTCCTTTAGACAACTTCAACTTTTTTAACGCATTGAAAATGTTTGTAGTTCGAATGCATTTAACTGTGTTTATTTGTCGAAAGAAATATTTAAAACTGCCAACGACGCGTTGAAAAAACGTGAAAAACGGTTTCAGTGCGTCAAAAATCACTGTTTTAAATGCGAACCTCGTAAAAATGCATCGAAACTTAGGGGGAAACGTATGGTAATGGTAAACGTTTTAATTGAAGGGTTTAAACGTGTTCAAAACTTCTCCAAGTTTCCTGCTATGTAGCAAATCGAATAGAATTTGACGTATAACAGCAAAATCAAATTTTAATAAATTTCCTAATGACTAATTACAAATCTTTCTAACACCAATATGTAGAAGTAAGTCTCCTCTATAAGTCTATACTACTTGGAAGATCCCATCTCGAATCATCTTGGAACAGTATTTAGAGAAATGAGATCATGTCAAAAAGTTCAACAGCTGATGCTTTGCATCATATTACTATTCAATTGAGTAGGCTGTTAGAGAAAAACAACAAATTTATAGGCATTGCTTTCGACTTTGCTAAAGCCTTTGGTCGCGTTCCCCACCAGCTGCTATTGAGAAAACTTTCAATGGCGGGTGTAGGGGGAGGGCTGATCGATTGGCTTGCTTTCTATCTCTCCGACCGAAAGCAATTGGTTGTTGTAAACAAGAAGAAGTCAGCACCTGTATTAATATCTTCAGGTATTCTCAAGGTAGTGTGCTTGGTCCGTTACTGTTCCTTGTTTACACAAACGATCTTGCAGAAAAATTCTCCGCCACATCAATAACATCGCTTTTCGGGGATGATTTTCTAGCGGTGATCCCTGTAGCCGATTATTCAAAAATGGATGAGGCACAGGATGCACTCAACATAATGGAAAACTGGTGTTTAGAGAATTTTGCCGAGTTGAATGTGGAAAAATGCGTGTTTATGCCTTTCTGTAAACAAAAATCTCTGGATACGTTTGGTATCTTAACTCTGTGTGAGCCGCTTCCTCATGAGAAAAACCTAAAGTTACTCGGCGTTTATTTGTCACATAACTTAAAGTGGAAAGATCATATTGCTAGCTTAAGTAGTAGATGTAGGCAAATGCTAGGAGCATTAAAGCGCACTTTTATTGCTGCTCCATCATCATTGAGACTGCATATATATAAAAGTTGCATACTGCCCAAGGGGGAAAAAACAACACTTCACTACACTACACTATACTTTTTCCACTACGGTAGTGGTGTCGTAGTGACTTTGTGGTGGTAACGTATTGGATGTGTAGTAGATGAGTAGTGGGCTCCATTGGTTGTGTAGTGGGCTGTAGCTAGCTGTAGTGGTTGTGTGGTGGGCTGCAGTGGATGTGTAGTGCACTGTAGTGTTTATGCGGTGGGCTGCAGTGGATGTGTAGTGCAGAGTAAAAAAATACGTGTTGCATGTCTTGCAGTAAAAATGAATGATGGCTATAATACTTCACGCTTTTTTAAAAGAAACGATTGAAGATGGAAAGTGATTGAAATAAAAACAAAGTGACAGTGACGAGATACGAACTTGTGACTCCGGAGGGACCAGTGCCTTAAACTGGCGCCTTAGACCGCTCGGCCACACTACCTGTCATCTTTTAAGACAGAAAAGATTTAAAAATGAGCTGTAACAAAAACGTGAACGTATATATCTAAGAAAATCAAGGGGGAAAAACAACGTTTCACTACACTACACTACACTTTGCACACTTTGGTTACATAGTGGGCTGTAGTTAGCGGTAGTGGTTGTGTAGTGCACTTTAGTGGATGTGCGGTGGGCAGTAGTGGATGTGTAGTGTGCTGTAGTGATTTGTGTGGTGGGCGGTCGTGAATGTGTAGTGCGCTGTAGTGGTTGTGTGGTGGGCGGTAGTCGGCTGTAGTGGACAATCCCTTGTAGTGTAGTGTAGTGTTGTTTTTTCCCCCGTGATACTGCCTGTCATCGACTATTGTTGTTGTGTCTATGATAGTAAAGTTAAGACTCATCTAGTCGAACTTTTATCTGTTCAAAAATTAGCAGCTAGAATAATTTTGAACGACTTCTTATCTGACAGTGACGGTTTAGTTAAAAAATTAGGATTGCCGGATCTACAGGTTACACGAAAGTATTTTCGCCTTATACATTTTCACAAAATACTCATTAATAACAGTGCGCTTTCTTTCTTTTGCTTTTTCTTTTACTCTAACTCATATGGTAGTTACTGTTCTCAAGTTATTACTTTTTTCTAACTGTCCATGGTCTATGTTGCTGAATAAACTTTGATTTTATTTGATTTGAACGAAAAAAACTTGTTATTCACCTCGATGTGAGATAAACAGCAAATCGCGCCGACATTAATAGGGCAAATAGCAAATTCGATGGAATTTAAACAAGAGCTTTATAATTCTCAACTGATTCCTATTGATCCTTAGAAAACGTTTCGTCAGCAAACATGTTCATAATACTCAGTGAAAAAGGCTAAACTATTTATAGCATTTTCCCCCATCTACGGAACTGGAGAAAGTGGAGTTCATGAGAAAGTCCGCGTCGCTGCGACTTTCCGTTTGACCAATGAAACTGCTTCTCTCAATTTACTATTAAATTGATGAGTATCTGTGTGTGACTCACTCTCACATCCAGCGCGCCGGCCCCTCCCCCTGACTGACTGAGGCAGGCCGGCAGTCATAACTCGCGGTGCCTTCTGATTCATACTACATTTTTTACTAAAAATGAGAAGTCGCTGCGATGTGGACTTTCCCATCCTATGAGAAAGTGAGCCTTCAATTTTCAGTAGTTTTTTAATTACTGATATTTAATTAATGATATTTATAGCGAGAAGTAGGAAAGAAAAATGTAAAACATTTACGTGTAAACAAAAATACAATTCTTAGTTGCACTCTTACGCACTGGTTTTTATTAAAAATGCTTTTCTCATTCAAGAATAATAGAGCTTCCAAAGTAATTTGTTTTTTTACTCGTGATTGCTTATTTTCTCCTAATAAAATTTCGAGTTGGGTAAATAGTTTAGCCTTCTTCACTGAGTATGAACATGTTTGCTGACGAAACGTTTTCTAAGGATCAGTAGGAATCAGTTGAGAATTATAAAGCTCTTGTTTAAATTCCATCCAATTTGCTATTTATCCTATTAATGTCGGCGCGATTTGCTGTTTATCTCACATCGAGGTGAATAACAAGTTTTATTCGTTCACATGATCTCATTTCTCTAAATACTGTTCCAAGATGATTCGAGATAGGATGTTGCAAGTAGTATAGACTTATAGAGGAGACTTACTTCTACACATTGGTGTTAAAAAGATTTGTAATTAGTCATTAGGAAATTTATTAAAATTTGATTTTGCTGTTTTACGTCAAATTCTATGCGATTTCCTATTCACCTCATCATAATGGTGGTTTTTTGTTATTCACTCTACGCGAGCTGAATAACAAATGTTAACTAGAGCTTCTGAGAAATCTACTTGAGATCCATTACCAGGGAAGGTTTTTCAAAAAGTTTCGCACAAATTCGATAGAAAAATGTTTGGACTACCAATGTGTGGTTTCAAATTTTTGATATCGTGAAAAATGAAAGAGTTATCAGTTTCTTTTTACAAAAGATTGAAAAATATTCATCTGCTGTTCACGCCTGACTACTCTATACCATTCGAAAAAGTGCAAAAACCTGAATAGTTCAACCTTTTCAATTTCTTTTGTCCTCTATAGATAAAACTCGAATTAGGAGTTACGAATATTGTTTTTTGTGATACACATCTACTCTTTAATCGTTTTCTATGTTCAACATTTATATTGTCAGATATTTTTTAATGTACAATCGGCATACTTGTTGCGAATGCGTCGAAAAACTCCAGCCTGCGATATTCAACATATACACATAAGATGAAAAAGAAAGAGAACCAAAAGTGAGTGTGTAGTAAAAAGCAAAAAATAAGAATGAAAAAGAACAACTGAATGTACATGTATAGTCGTGTGTTTTTCACATTGTAAATAATAGCTGATGATGACTATAGATCTTAATCGAAAGCTTCGATTTTTGAAATAAAAAGTCCATAATTGTTGAGTGCTTACGATTGTTAGTATTTTTACCGAAGTAAGCGATGAAGATAGTTGATTATAAAAAGATTTCTTTTATCAAAATGCAGCTCACAAAGTTTATCGATCCATATAATTTTTATGTCTTTCAACTATCCTTAGACAAAACACAAATGGCGAAAGTATGAAAAATCGATTAAACTTTTATAGGTGACTTTACTTGAAAGTTGGAAAATATTTTACAGAAATATGTTACAGCACACAGGAAGGAATGTAAATAAATGACAAAAAAGAATATTACGAAAGACGTCGAAGAAAATTTCGAGAAAAATGCTTTCAACAGTTATATTCCCAATGAATCAGTTGATGGCCATTGATATCACGGATTGAGTCAATCTTTTTATCCTCAAGTGGATGTATACATGATTGGCTAATAAAACTGTCAGATCGAGGTATCCATAAATTTCTATTCACCAACACTACAATCGCCGCGAAACTTCGAAATCTCTCGTTGATAGTAGAGAATTAGGGATAAAATGTATGGATACCCTGATTTGACCTAGCAGTACTTTTTATTTTATAAATATAGGCATGCACTAATTAAAGTTAATTGGAATTAGAGCTTTCCTAGCAATGTGTAACACTCTAGCAAGAGAGAAAATTAATTTTAAAATAAAAGACTTTCTGACAACTATTTTCTGAAAGATGCATCTAATCATAGTTCACGTATGATAAAATATTGTGAGCTAAATAACCTTTCTTTCGGTCAAAAACTGTATTCATATTCTGAGCCTGAATCCATCAATGAGATTGAAACTTGAAAAAGTTTACCATTGATAGAATAAATCGAACTCTATTCGAAGCCATTTGTGAAGCAAGTAATTGTCGGCAAAAAAAGAAGTCCGATTATAGCCGATTCTTTGAAGCTATGATCTTTACAAAGGAAGTGCCAAGGTTTCTCTTCTGCTCTGTTTGGCAGCTAGACAAATCCAGGCTAAATGTTTAGGTATGATGTGTGAGTTTTTCGTTCGCTTTACCTTGACATTATCGAGTTTTCAAGGAACTTCTTATTTCTGGAAAAGGTTTCATTACTATTTCGTCTCGACTTATCGTGATTTTCAGGAAACTTTCTGGTGAATGTTTCATGAGCTAAAAAATCTATTGAACTTCTTTTGGTATGCATAAATATCTCGAAAACTCTTTTCAGTTTTAGCAAACAACAATAATCTTGAGCATAAACAACAAATTCACACACAATCATGGCAAATTTTTTCTACTGTTTTGCGGCAGTCTAAACCAGCAAGTATTGAGCAATTACAATTAAACGATGTCGAAGCACAAACTGATGATGAAAATCAAAATCGAGCAATAACATCGGCATTGCCATCACCAACTGACAGCTTAGATTCAGAATTACGAGCATCTGAAACGTACCAGCCCGAATTAATAGATATGTTTAAAAAACAAATATACCAACTACAAGGTCCATCGTCATATAAAATCGTATCGTGTATCTTTTATAGGCAGATTTTAAGTATTATAAACAATTTTGATAAAAAATATCCATATTTGGGACAATTACGTCTGTCAAATACAGTTTTAAAGTTATTAATCGATTATCAACCACTATTACAAGAAATATTTTCAGATGAACTTACCGATGGTATTTTATCGACCACAGTCTTTCAATGGTTATGTAAGAAAAGTAATGAAAACAGTGATCATGATGGCATATTCTGTTCTGACTGGTGTTTATTATTACCATTGTTTATCCTACGAAATAATTATCAGTTAGAAGGATTTGTCCGTTTACTAGATGAAAATATTATTGCAATATTTGAAGAACGACGAGTACAATTAGAAGATGAAGTGAATGGTTTTGAATTATCAACTGCTTCTCTTCCTGATGGGGAAAATGCTTTTCATAAATCTTGTGAAAATTTTTTTGCATTTATAAACAAAGCAATTATGATGTTAGTTCAAGTCCAGTATGTTATAAAACAAGAATTGATAATAACAACGTCAATGGCTAGCGATTTTGGACGAAAACTGTATTGTTTTCAATGTCTCTTACGAATTAAACAAATTAATGAATTAGAGAAAATAATGAATGGAAATATAAATGAAAACAATCCATCAGAGTGTGAAGAATTCTACGAGCGAGCATTTATAGTATTCTTTTTTGAAGAAATCATGCAGTGGTTCAGGGATCAATATAGCGATATAAACAAAACAAAGGAAATTCGTCTTGTTTGTCATGCGTATTTATGGTATTTAACTCAGAATTTTGGTACTAAGGTTCTAAACAGATTAAATCCTAATGGAGCACAACGTCCACTTCAGACGATTCAGGATGTTTTTGGCTCAATTATACAAGAAGCACAATAACAACAACGTTTAGACTGATTATCTTTATGAGATCATTGTACTGAAGAGATTCTGGTAAATATTCAAATACAATGTCAAATTCTTTTTATTATAAGCCGACTCTGGAAAGACTTTCGAAGCCAAATTGAATTCCTTCGCCTTTTCATGCGCGACATCGCTAGCATTGCAAGTGTTATCAATCTCGACCCTTTTTTTGGATAGTGCACTCTTTTGATAAAACGCTGCACGTTTATCCATTAATTATGTAACTGGTTATGCATAAGTTTTGCAACAAATGTCGAGCGCTGTTTCCCTCTGCTCCTACTATTCTGAAGACTTCACTTTCTTTTTGTTTGAAAGAGGAAAGTCTGAACTACAAAACGTGTACCAAATAAAATCTTCTCTCATCAAACTTCATTGAGAAACAATTCAAAAACTATGCATCACTAAAAATATTCTAGTTAAATTTTACTAAAACGTATCAGGAAAAGCTTTTCACATGGTGTCAAAAATATTCACTTTTTGCTGAAACCTAATACATGAAAAAATAGTCCGTGAAAAATTCTATGAATCTGATCTCCTTAAAACTTTTCGAGTTACCTTTTTGTGGTTTTCTGAAACGCTTTCTGAAAGTCACATTTTCAGAAAATCGAGATTTTCCGTCTAACAATTAGGGCTTTTAGCAAAAGCATCACATAAAATACGAAGTGAATGAGATTAGTTTTTGTTTTACATGAGATTGTAGAAAATTGAATGGAGATCATTTTATAGTTTAAAAATTGGACAAAAGTTCATCTGTTGATTCAAGAATTGGCAATTAATGCTAATTAACTGATTTTCCAACGGTGCTCAGATAAACGATTATTTCTTCACAGAAACTGAATAAAAGGGAAATGTATTGCACACCATTCGAAAGAGCGTTTCAACCCATCTCAGATGTAATAATCAGTCAGTTTTCAAGCTTATTCTTAAACTAGAAAAGAACCGTTTCGAAGAAGACGCTCTATCAAATGATGTAAAAAAAACGCAAAATTTATTTTTATTGAAAATTCGCATTGCCGCCACCTTACTTTGATTCATATCTGCAATCAACTAAAGAAAGACGTGGCAGCCAGCTCCAATAATCTTGTGTCTATGACCAGTGTATCATCCAACACCACTGGTAAACAAATGGAGAAACAAGAAGCATCATTCATGTATTTTCAACTACTTATCAATATTTTAACTCAATTCGCTCACAAAAACTCAACAGAACTGATTGCTTTGTGTCGAATGGACTATGCAGACAATAACAAAGAACTAAATGTCATCGATGAATTCCATACAACGTACTCGAAGGAGCAAATAATAGGGTAGAACACGAAAGAATGCTTTCTCTACCGAATGCTAAATAAAGCATTACGAACACAAGACATTGACATATTATTCAACCTCGGCTTTTTCATCAAAGACCTTCACGAGAAACTTCGCAATCTGCAAAACTCATCGACTACTCGTCTTGGGGGAATACTCTCTTCATTTTGGGCTATGGGCTTTTACAATCACATAGATGTCCCAAGTCAACTTTCTTGCCCCAGTCGAGATAAAAAGTCTTACCGTGATCGTTATAAGAGTCGCGACAAGACGCGATTTTTATGGTTTTGCCGCACTATAAGAGTAATCATACCATATTCTCAGCTGTCATAGAGGAATCGCGGTTCCCTCGCTATTGTCGCTTCGCGATCGTACAGAAATCGGGGTGTCATAACGCGATCATATTCGAGTCGTAACAAGTTCTTATTATAGTCGCTATACTCAATTAATGTTTGTTCTTCGCTTTATTTGGCATTTGATCTAGTTATAATAACAAAAGAATCTATAGGCCGTACTTTTACCTTATACTTTTCTTTAGTTTAATAGTTTTGATCTTAGGTAACGGAAAATGCAATTAGTTCGTATAATGGTCGATTAAAACTCTGTTGTTTTCCCAAATTTATCGTTAGTTCAGTCGGTACGCCGGCTGCGTATTGCAATAACTCTCAGTTGACTCTATTCTTAGCTGAACGAACGATAAATTTGGGAAAACAGCGAAGTTTTAATCCACCATTATATGAATTAATTCCATTTTCCGTTACCTAGAACAAAAAATCTAATAAATATATCCAATAAAATATCCTTTCAGCACATTCCTGCCCCGGTAGTGGACTATCTTCTTTATAGAGACCTGCAATCCGGTTCCGGTTAAAATACTGCCGGTTCGGGTTGAACATCGTGTGGCGTAATTTAAAATATAGATAATAATTTCAATTTTGTATTAATCGTTGAGAAGTTAACTCTACTGGAATTTTCAGTTGAAATACTTATTTCAGAACAACTGCATTCACTAACGAGGTAAGGTGTTCAGATGCCCAACTCCGTTTTTAATGATATTATGCCAGTTAACAGAAGAAAGTGAGGAGATAAAAACCCTCAAAGAAGAATCCATATCAGTTCTTTCAAAAGTTATGAATTTTTTGTTCTAAAGGAACACTGTGTGTAGTAATAGTAATAATTCTGTAACCCAGTCAGAACAAAGAATTAAGAAGTGAAATTATCTTTTGTACTTTCGCTAATAGTCTGCTAATATTACAGAAAATTTGAGCGTTATATTTTCCTAAATTCGCTTGCCATTGAACTTTTCTTTCCGAAGGAAAACAATGTTTTTCCAAACCGCACAATTTTCAATGATAACATTTCTCTTTTATTGGAGGTGATATTGAAAATTTAGAAAGATATAACGTTCAGATTTGCTGGAATATTAGCAGACTATTAGCAAAAGGTCATTCACCTGAAATGCGCAGCAGTGTCAAGTTCCACAGTTCCGTGGAAATCCCTGCAGAATTCTGCAGCACTGCAGAATTATACCGCAGATTCAACCCTATACTGTAACCAAGATTCTGTCCAGAATTTGGTCAAATTCTGCTAGAATTCTCTCCGTACTCTCTATCACACTGCGACACGCCTTGCGAATTGTCACATTCTGGTGCAATTCTCCTGTAATTCTGCCAGATTCTGTGCAATTCTCGTTAGATTCTGGTAGAATTAGATGTAGAATTAGAATGTCTGATTCTGCCAGCATCTAACCAGAATCTGCCAATTCGTAGAGAGGATCTAAATGTGCACTGATACCTGTATACTTTCCTTTTCTACGAGAAACTGCCCAGAACTGGACCCAGAATTGGATCTCCCAGAATTATTGCAGAATTGCACCAGAATCTGCCAGTTCGTAGAGAGAACCTAAGTCTGTAGCAGTGTAACTCTACATAGATATACATCACTCTACATAGATTCTCTCTACGAACTGGCAGATTCTGGTGCAATTCTGCAAGATTCTGGTCCAATTACTGTCAGATTCTCGTAGATTCAGAAAGTATACAGATATCAGTGCACATTTGATATTCTCTACTAATTGGTAGCTTCACGTGCAATTCCCCCGCACTTCTCCCAGATTCCTGCTACATTCTGGTTGGATTCTGGTAGAATCAGAATGTATACAGATATCAGTGCACATTTAGATCCTCTCTACGAACTGGGAGATTCTGGTGCAATTGCGGTATTATGCTCCAATTCTGGTTAGATTCTGGTAGAATCAGAAAGTATAGAGATATCAATTCGTATGTAGATCCTCTCTACGAACTGGCATATTCTGGTCCAATTCTGATGTAATTCTGCGAGATTCCGGCTACATTCTGGTTGGATTCTGGTAGAATCAGAAAGTATATATATGTCAATTGAGACTTAAGTCCTCTCTGCGAACTGGTAGATTCTGGTGCAATTGGATTCTGGCTAGATCCTGGTACTATTGAATTGCAGATACTTTCGGATTCCGCGAGATTCTAGCGATAGTTGACCGAAATCTTATTAGAATTACAGCAGAAGTGCACCAGAGTAGGCGGATTCGTAGAGAGGATCTAATTTTGAACTGTTGTCGATCTAC